GCTTGCAAGTTGAGAGAGGCGGGAAATGGTACAATGTTCCAGCCAAGCCTTATACTCCCTCTGTTCCTAAATATAAGTCTTTTTAGAGATTCCACTACAAACTACATACGGATGTATATAGACATATTTTAATGTGTAGATTCACTCATTTTGCTCTATATGTAGTCCATAATGAAATCTCTTAAAAGACTTATATTTAGGAACAGAGGGAGTACGTTGGTGATTAACGTAGCAGACTGCATGGAGGTATATATGAAGCTAACTAAGCACCTGCTCTCTTGAATAATATATCTACAATCAACAGTGTTGTATATCATATATATTTTCTGAATCCTAGAATGTCCCTATGTTATATATCTTTTGTATGTAAATAAATATTTGATGCCTGCAGATAATGACCAACGGAATCTTTAGGAGCCCGCTTCACAGGGTGGTGACGAATGCCGACAAGGAGAGGCTTTCACTAGCCAGGTTTTATGCTGTGGATGCGGAAACGGTGCTGGAGCCGGCGCCTAGTTTGCTGGATGAACCGACCACCAAGATATGGGAAAATCAAGGCCAAGGCTTTCGTTTCTTTTTCTCGACTGAAAACTTCTTAGTTGGGCTCTTTGAATGTTAGTTATTCGTACGTCAAGTGAAGAGATTCATCAAGACCCTGAAATAAAAATAAAAGTTCAAAGTTTTAATTAGTTTATTTACAGAGTTTTATCAGGGATTGCCTATATAAGGATAATAAATTAAGAGATGGTTTATGTTCTGTGGGTGAGGGTTTTATCTGTAATATAACCGCCTTCTTCAATTCAATGCTTAGCTAACAACCAGATTGTTTGGTGCTGCTGTATTGTGTGTGTTTTCTAACTTGTATGTATTTGTCTTGAGTTCAAAAGAATGTTTGGGAAAAGTATTTGATAGTATCTACATAATTTTGTGCGGGTAATATATACATTTGATTACGTGGATGTTGTTGTTGTTTGTGAAAAAAAAAATCTCATCTTCTGTTTTTAGAGAAAAATAGACTCGTTCAACTATTTGGTGAGCTCAAGAAAATCTATCTGAATTCTTTCATACAGTAACATCGTCTACTTGAAGATTGAGCGATTCTGAATTTTATTGCCAGAATTTCAGTGCACGAAGACCGTGGAACTCACCACCAACTATCGTGATACTCAATGGACAAAGATCGAGTGATTCTTGTCTTGTGATGAACCAGGAGTCCCAGAAAAAAACTGCATGCATTCGGTCGCTCGAAACAGAGCAACTACTAAGTTTGTCAAACTGCATGCGATGAGGGGTCCTGTACTAGTTATCAAAACATTGAACAATTTGTAGTGTTATTATTGGGCCTAGCCCACTTACTGTTTACCATAATCCTTCGGAAATCTCATAGGTCCATATGGCCCATTCATGCATGACAAGTGGGGTAAGGAAGTTTAGTCTTAACCCCATTAATGGAAAATTGCTCATATATTCTACACATAGTAGAAAAGATCTCCATGATAATTTCATGAACACAAGTGATCTTCACCATTCCATTTTGTTTTGATACTTGTTAGACTCGTGAAAACGAATATATCAATGATCTTCACAATTTTTGTGGTCCTTGGACTCTATTCATTTTGTATTTCTTGATGAAAGTCTTCTTTTTCGTCATAAACAATTCATGCATCACTATTTATTTTCTAATAGAGTACAATATGGTAAGCGTGATAAAGTTTCTCTGCAAAAGGTACAAACATTATTTTGCATTGATTGATAAGATAATTGTGCTGATAAGTAAACCAACAAGCTTACAAAAATATAACATTACACCACAAATAGATACCACACTTCTTCCTTATTGCCACAACATAGAAACATGGAAGACATACAGGGTGTGACGCAACACCCAGGGACGTACTAGGTTGAAACGGGTGAACGCACGTAAACCCCGAGCGCCTCCACGTATTTACCAGCGCACACAAAGAAACCCACGATGTTCTTATTGTCCTGCACAGGAACACTGAAAGTGGTGCTCTGTGTTTCTCCGAAGGGACCGTACGTGCGGACATTTGTGGTAATGGTGAGGGATGCTATAGCATTATATTCGACATTATCTTCTGCGAAGACACCAACTGTCCCAGAGACTTCCTTAACGATCTCTGAAGCGGCAAGCTCGATCTGTATGCAAGAGAAGAGATCATCAAGTTAATAGAATTGCATGTAGGAATCACATTACAAGTGCTTACATATGAAAAAATATCAGTTAAACGGATGAACCCACCGTGTCTTTGTTATCCCCACGTGGGCCACCCCACGGGCCAACGTTATATGGTTCACCAGCTTTGTCAATGAAGGAAAATGCAAGTGAATCAATGACAACACCGTGGCGGATGGTGATGCGCTCTAGACGCTGCGGTGTCGTGGGGATGTCGAGTAAGTCCGCACTTATTTTACCCCAAGGGCCGATCTTGGCAATGGCGCTCCCGTCACCTAGAGAAAGCTGGTCGGACTCGGGTGTCGTTAAAACAAGCTAGAGAATGAACATACTAGAGTAGCTAGGTAGGCGCGGCCTAGCAACACACCAGAGGTCTTAAGAAGGAGAGGCACATAGCACGAACATGAAGCTCGATCCTAGCGTTTCTCTCGGATTGTTGGGTCTTCTTGAAGGCGATGACACCTTGTGCATATTACAACCTCTCCGGTCCCACCAACGATTGCCCATTCACCGTTGTGGGCAGTGCCTTGAAAGTCCCCCATCACCTTGAAACTAGAACCTGTAAACCTATTCCAAGTATATAGACATAGTTGACGCGATTTCAAGATGAAGTATTTTCTTTACGGTGTTTGAATTGCATAAACCCTATTATGGCTCCAGTGCAAACTTAATCAATGCGGTAAAATTTCAAAGAGAGATAGTTAAGCAAGACAAAAATAATAATTCACCTCTGATCGACGAAGACCATGTTGAAACATATGAACCAGTTCTCTTTGGCCATGCTAGCCCCGAGGTGCAAACCTTGAGCGTGCGCGACAAGGTTTGCATTGTGGCCAGGACCATCGTACACGGTCCAGTCATTAGCAGCGAGGATTCCGAAACACTTGGGGCGCTTTGACTCAACTATGACTGCCTGGTTAGCATCTGGGCTTTTCTGGACGTTCTGGTAGGCGTACAAGTGGAGAAGAAGCTCCTTGTGCTGGATCATCTCATGGCCAGCTGGAGCGGATTGGAAGTAGGAAGGGTTTGCCCCCTTGGCAGCAGGCGTCGTGGTGGTGGTCTCCAAGGTGAAAGACTGAGGCGACATTGTGGCTTATTAGCTAGGATTATGTGTGTGTTGTGTGCGTGTGTAGTAGTTGTAACTTGGTACCATGGATGGATGGGAAAGAGCCTATTTATAGATGTTCAACACAAGTGGTTGATACGTGCCTCTCAAATTTAATCACCGACTAAGCATGTGCACTCATGAATCACGCTCGTACATTTCTAATACTTTAAATGGATGTATCTAGCACTGAAATACGTCTAGATGCATCCGTTTCAGTGAAAACTAATATGAAACAGAGGGAGCAGTACATTATGACTGGAAATGACACTGGTGCACGTACATTACTATATTGTATTGATGACGCCATCAGGCATGACATCACTAAGTGGTCGATGCATGCATATTTATATGCACTCTGAGAGCTTTAATTATTAATCAATGTGCCAACGACCCAAACAGTGTGAACAATATACACGAGATAAAGCTCAGATCCGATTGCTCATCGAGCAACTAATAATTAAGTCCATAAATATCACCCGCTCACCTCCGCATCAAAGACCATAACTAATACTCGTCGACCTTCAGGGTTCCTTTGATTCAATGGAATTCCATAGGTTTTTCTTTTTGAGCAGTTGATTCCTAAGAACTTTGATCTTTTATTTAGAGGATGGAAATTTTTGGGATTTATTTTCATTTTGAAAGAAAATTTTCATCCACTCAAAGATTTTAGTAGAATTCCCGTGTTTTCATGTGCTATCAAACACTCTTCCATCTAAATTCCGGTTTTTCTTTCTTTCTTTCTACAAAATACAAGAGGACATGACACTCTATTTTTGCATCTTGAGAATCATGCGAATCAAAAAACCTTCAAATTGTTCAGTAATATCGCATGTATATATCTGAATGCGGACCATCTAATTAAGATACCACCCACCCACCTCAAACTGTCCCTGATAAGTGTTCAATGGGCTGGGGCCGGATGACTGAAAAACACTAAATGAGCCACCGCATCCCTACCCATACTTGATGGTACAAAATGGCACCACCAATTAAGTATCATCAATTTTTGTTACTACTACCCTCATCGTTCTCCAGCATTCCTTCATGATATTTTTAACTTTGCAAATCCATGGTAGGATTACTAGCTTAATTTAGTCGGCTGGTTTTAAGAGTGGTATATTGTTTTCAGGTGTATATACTAAGTAAGACTCTAAGAGCTAGAGCACTGAGTTTGGACACAACCAATGAGAATAACATACGCTGTGACTTGAAAGTTTCATTGTTCACGTTTCTTGCAATTGTTCATCATTTTTTAATTTTGGAACGAAATAAGCTGCCTGTCACATACAAACTTATGTTTGCATTGGTGTCCATAAAAATATGGTGAGACAAGGGGCAGCTGATGGCCAACAGTGGCATCTTGAGAGACCAGCGAACCCCATCATGTCTCTCCTCCGAGTGACCGAGGGGGGCTAACCCTAGCCACTGGGGCAAGGCAATCTCATCTAACCTCCTCCCCTCAGGCCCTCACCGCCACCGGCGCGTGCTGCCGGGCTCTCTCTTCCACGCTCAACTCAAGGCAGCGGTTTGGGCGATGGCGTGGTGCTAGTCTATGGCACACGGAGCCTGACCGAGCTCGAGTGCTTGTATGGTGGGTTGCGGAGGGTTGGGCTGGGCGGGGCCCTGGTGTGTGGTGTTGGCGACTGGCTAGGCCTCGCCCCAGATCTGGTGTAGACAGGGCCATGGTGGTGCTTGGGGGCTGCTTGGGGCGTCGCAGTGGCGGTGCCAGGATCAAAACCTTGTGATGTCAAGTTTCTCTCACATTTTCCCCTTGAATTAAGTGGCATATATAGCCCGCTATTTACCCAAGACTAGAAAAGAATGGCTGCGTCCGACCAGAATGATATGTCGCTGGTGCGGAGAACGGTGCAAGAGCTGGCGGTGGCCGTCGAGGAGCCGCCGCCACAGTACGTGGTTGATGAGATGCTGGTCGCTGATGAGATGCCGGAGCCCATCCCTCTGATCGATCTTAGCCGGCTGACCGAAGCCGACGAGGCCGACAAGCTCCGAGCGGTTCTACAGACCTGGGGCCTCTTCCTGGTGAGTGTGTGCACCCTTAATTAGTTTGTTCTAGCAAACATTATTCAACTTTTGTTGAGGTTTTTGCCCAGGCGACCAACCATGGAATCGAGGAGTCCCTTATGGATGCCATGATGAGTGCGTCCATGGAATCAAGAGACTTCTTCATGCAACCGTATGAAGAAAAGCAGAAATACAGCAACTTGATAGACGGCAAGCATTTCCAGATGAAAGGCCATGGAAATGACAAAGTAGTGACCCCCCAGGATGAGGGCCTGAGCTGGAACGACCGCTTGCATTTGAGAGTGGAGCCAGAAGATGAGAGGAATTTCGCCAAGTGGCCCACTCACCCGGAATCTTTCAGGTTAAGTAATCACTTACTCCTAAATTTACCCTTTGTTCCCAAATGTAAGGTGTATTCATTCTCGAGTTACTCTTTCTACATACATACAGGGATGTGCTTCATGAGTACGCATCAAGAACAAAGAGAACAAGAGACCTTCTCTTGCAATCAATGGCCAAGCTCCTCGACCTTGATGAGGATTACTTCGTCAACCAAATATCAAACAAGGCTTCTGGGTTTGCTAGATTCAACTACTACCCTCCATGTCCCAGGCCTGACCTAGTTTTGGGCAGGAAGCCTCACACTGATGGTGGTCTCCTTACCATCCTTTTTGTCGACCAAGACGTCGGTGGCTTGCAAGTTGAGAGGGGTGGGAAATTGTACAATGTTCCAGCCAAGCCTTACACATTGGTGAATAATGTAGCAGATCCAACCAGATTGTTTGGTGCTGCTGTGTTTTTTTTTCTAACTTGTATCTATTTGTCTTGAGTTCAAAAGAGTGTTTGGGAAAAGTATTTGATAGTATATTACATAATTTTGTGCGGGTAATATGTACATTTGATTACGAGGATGTTGTATTTACAAAAATATCATGTTGTTGTTGTTGTTGTTGTTGAAAACAAAATCTCATCTTCTGTTTTCAGAGAAAAATAGACTCGTTCAGCTATTTGGTGAGCTCAAGAAAATCTATCTGGATTCTTTCATACAGTAACAACGTCTACATGAAGATTGATTGATTCTGAATTTTATTGCCAGAATTTCAGTGCACGAAGACCGTGGTACTCACCACCAACTATCGTGATACTCAGTGCACAAAGATCGAGTGATTCTTGTCTTGTGATGAACCAAGTGTCCCGGAAAAAAACTGCATGCATTTGGTCGCTTGAAACAGAGCAACTACTAAGTTTGTCAAACTGCATCCGATAGGACATTTATAGATGTTCCACTACTAGATGTTCAACAAGAACGCCGCTAAGGAGGGGTCCTGTACTAGTGATCAAAACATTGAACAAATTGTAGTGTTATTATTGGGCCTAGCCCATTTATTGTTTACCTTAATCCTTAGGAAAATCTCATAGGTCATATGGCCCATTCATGCATGACAAGTGAGGTAAGGAAGTTTAGTCTTAACCCCATTAATGGAAACTTGCTCATATATTCTACCCATAGTACAAAAGGTCTCCATGATAATTTCATGAACACAAGTGATTTTCACCATTCCATTTTGTTTTCATATTTGTTAGACTCGTGAAAACGAATAAATCAATGATCTTCACAATTTTTGTGGTCCTTGGACTCTATTCATTTTGTATTTCTTGATGAAAGTCTTCTTTTTCGTCATAAACAATTCATGCATCACTATTTATTTTCTAATAGAGTACAATATGGTAAGCGTGATAAAGTTTCTCTGCAAAGGTACAAACATTATTTTGCATTGATTGATAACAGAATTTTGCTGATAAGTAAACCAACAAGTTTACAAAAATATAACACACATCTTCCTTATTGCCACAACATAGAAACATGGAAGACATACAGGGTGTGACACAACACCCAAGGACGTACTAGGTTGAAACGGGTGAACGCACGTAAACCCCGAGCGCCTCCACGTATTTACCAGCGCACGCAAAGAAACCCACGATGTTATTATTGTCCTGCACAGGAACACTGAAAGGGGTGCTCTGTGTTTCTCCGAAGGGACCGTACGTGCGGACATTTGTGGTAATGGTGAGGGATGCTATAGCATTATATTCGACATTATCTTCTGCGAAGACACCAACTGTCCCAGAGACTTCCTTAACGATCTCTGAAGCGGCAAGCTCGATCTGTATGCAAGAGAAGAGATCATCAAGTTAATAGAATTGCATGTAGGAATCACATTACAAGTGCTTACATATGAAAAAATATCAGTTAAACGGATGAACCCACCGTGTCTTTGTTATCCCCACGTGGGCCACCCCACGGGCCAACGTTATATGGTTCACCAGCTTTGTCAATGAAGGAAAATGCAAGTGAATCAATGACAACACCGTGGCGGATGGTGATGCGCTCTAGACGCTGCGGTGTCGTGGGGATGTCGAGTAAGTCCGCACTTATTTTACCCCAAGGGCCGATCTTGGCGATGGCGCTCCCGTCACCTAGAGAAAGCTGGTCGGACTCGGGTGTCGTTAAAACAAGCTAGAGAATGAACATACTAGAGTAGCTAGGTAGGCGCGGCCTAGCAACACACCAGAGGTCTTAAGAAGGAGAGGCACATAGCACGAACATGAAGCTCGATCCTAGCGTTTCTCTCGGATTGTTGGGTCTTCTTGAAGGCGATGACACCATGTGCATATGCAAACTCTCCGGTCCCACCAACGATTGCCCATTCACCGTTGTGGGCAGTGCCTGGAAAGTCCCCCATCACCTTGAAACTGGAACCTGTAAACCTATTCCAAGTATATAGACATAGTTGACGCGATTTCAAGATGAAGTATTTTCTTTACGGTGTTTGAATTGCATAAACCCTATTATGGCTCCAGTACAAACTTAATCAATGCGGTAAAATTTCAAAGAGAGATAGTTAAGAAAGACAAAAATAATAATTCACCTCTGATCGACGAAGACCATGTTGAAACATATGAACCAGTTCTCTTTGGCCATGCTAGCCCCGAGGTGCAAACCTTGAGCGTGCGCGACAAGGTTTGCATTGTGGCCAGGACCATCGTACACGGTCTAGTCATTAGCAGCGAGGATTCCGAAACACTTGGGGCGCTTTGACTCAACTATGACTGCCTGGTTAGCATCTGGGGTTTTCTGGACGTTCTGGTAGGCGTACAAGTGAAGAAGAAGCTCCTTGTGCTGGATCATCTCATGGCCAGCTGGAGCGGATTGGAAGTAGGAAGGGTTTGCCCCCTTGGCAGCAGGCGTTGTGGTGGTGGTCTCCAAGGTGAAAGACTGAGGCGACATTGTGGCTTATTAGCTAGGATTATGTGTGTGTTGTGTGCGTGTGTAGTAGTTGTAACTTGGTACCATGGATGGATGGGAAAGAGCCTATTTATAGATGTTCAACACAAGTGGTTGATACGTGCTTCTCAAATTTAATCACCGACTAAGCATGTGCACTCATGAATCACGCTCGTACGTTTCTAATACTTTTTCTATTTTATATTAGTTGTCGCTTAAATGGATGTATCTAGCACTGAAATACGTCTAGATGCATCCATTTCAGTGAAAACTAATACGAAACAGAGGGAGCAGTACATTATGACTGGAAATGACACTGGTGCACGTACATTACTATATTGTATTGATGACGCCATCAGGCATGACATCACTAAGTGGTCGATGCATGCATATTTATATGCACTCTGAGAGCTTTAATTATTAATCAATATGCCAACGACCCAAACAGTGTGAACAATATAGACGAGATAAAGCTCAGATCCGATTGCTCATCGAGCAACTAATAATTAAGTCCATAAATATCACCCGTTCACCTCCGCATCAAAGACCATAACTAATACTCGTCGACCTTCAGGGTTCCTTTGATTCAATGGAATTCCATAGGTTTTTCTTTTTGAGCAGTTGATCCTAAGAACTTTGATCTTTTATTTAGAGGATGGAAATTTTTGGGATTTATTTTCATTTTGAAAGAAAATTTTCATCCACTCAAAGATTTTAGTAGAATTCCCGTGTTTTCATGTGCTATCAAACACTCTTCCATCTAAATTCCGGTTTTTCTTTCTTTCTTTCTACAAAATACAAGAGGACATGGCACTCTATTTTTGTGTCTTGAGAATCATGCGAATCAAAAAACCTTCAAATTGTTCAGTAATATCGCATGTATATATCTGAATGCGGACCATCTAATTAAGATAACACCCACCCACCTCAAACTGTCCCTGATAAGTGTTCAATGGGCTGGGGCCGGATGACTGAAAAACACTAAATGAGCCACCGCATCCCTACCCATACTTGATGGTACAAAATGGCACCACCAATTAAGTATCATCAATTTTTGTTACTACTACCCTCATCGTTCTCCAGCATTCCTTCATGATATTTTTAACTTTGCAAATCCATGGTAGGATTACTAGCTTAATTTAGTCGGCTGGTTTTAAGAGTGGTATATTGTTTTCAGGTGTATATACTAAGTAAGACTCTAAGAGCTAGAGCACTGAGTTTGGACACAACCAATGAGAATAACATACGCTGTGACTTGAAAGTTTCATTGTTCACGTTTCTTGCAATTGTTCATCATTTTTTAATTTTGGAACGAAATAAGCTGCCTGTCACATACAAACTTATGTTTGCATTGGTGTCCATAAAAATATGGTGAGACAAGGGGCAGCTGACGGCCAACAGTGGCATCTTGAGAGACCAGCGAACCTCCTTCCACACGTGAGGGTACCCCATCATGTCGCTCCTCCGAGCGACCGAGGGGGGCTAACCCTAGCCGCTGGGGCAAGGCTATCCCATCTAGCCTCCTCCCCTCACCTCCACCAGCGCATGCTGCCGGGCTCTCTCTCTTCCACGCTCAACTCAAGGCCGTGTGGCGCGGGACGGCAGTTTGGGCGATGGTGTGGTGCTAGTGTAGGGCGCGCGGAGCCTGGCCGAGCTCGAGCGCTTGTATGGGTTGCGGAGGGTTGGGCTGGCCGGGGCCCTGGCTAGTGTTGGCTGGAGTGGTTAAGAGGTGGAGCGGTGTTGCATATTCAACATGGATGGCAGCGGGTCTCGGCGGCGTGGTGCACCTGGGGCTGGGGCTCTCTCCGGTAGCCGCCTGCTTGGTGTCGAGTTGGTCTTGACAGTAATTAGACCGATGTGCCCGTGTGTTCGCCAGCATTGCTTCACCTGAAGCTTTGCGGCTTGGTGGGTTGACTTGACTTGAATATACTCCTTATTAGTGGAAGAAGCTAACTTCACACTTGGGTTAAAACCCCTGCCAAAATTTCTGCCCCAAAGTTGGCACTTTTCTTTGTCTGAATGAATCTTAGCCTGAACCATCCAACAGTTCATCATACTCTCAACTTGACAGGTACTCAGATGGTGAACAATGCGTCCTCACAAATATA